CCTAGTTCTAACAACAATTAAAGGGCTACTTTCAGGAGATATAATATTTTTTTCCCTCTTGTCCATATAGTCACATTTATTAAAATACTCCAGGTGCTACTGATTTTGTTTTTAATACATTCTATTATTATATTCACTAGCTTCTTTATTTTAGCTGTAAATATCTACAGTAGTTCATAAACTCACATTTGTTAAAATAATTAAGGTGCTATTAGATGCTTAAGTGTATAACTGAATTATCTATTCTGTAATAATCCTTTTTTCTGTTAAATTTTTACAAGTTTTAGAATAATTACAGTCTTATTCGTAAGTCTAGCTAAAGATTCAATATAAATCTTATAATATTTTACTCAGAAAATCTAGTTTGTAAAATTACTCTCATCTTATGATTACAGGCATAGATCCTGATGTAAACTTTTTACTAAATGAATTACAGGAATCAAACAGCAACTGTAATTACTATACAGCAGACCAAGCAAAGACATTACTCAGTGCAAACAATAACATAACTATCTTTAACTACAATGTCAGATCCTTGAGCAAAGATTATGATGACCTCACAGCTAATTATTCAATTCCCTTCATTCCAATATATCAATCATCACACTCATGGAAACCTGGCTTAAGCCTGATATTACAAATGTCTATGCCATTCCTGGCTACATGGCCATACACAACTGTAGAACAGACCAGCAAGGGGGAGGAACAGCTATATACTACTCAAATCAACTCGAATGTATCAATAAATCTTGCACAAGGGACGAACATGGAGAATATATCATAGCCAAATTTAAATCAAAGACCTGCAAAAACCCCTAACAGTTATAAACATCTACAGGGTACCACAGTCAAACATTTACCACTTTAGTGAAAAACTAGGAAACATGATTACTTATGCACACATGAATAAAGATCACCTACTACTAACAGGAGATTTCAACATAAACATACTACACGACCAGGACCCACAAGTAACTGAATTCACAAACACAATGAGTAACTGCCTGTTGCTACCAGCAATATCTAAACCTACAAGAATCGCCGAGACAAGCATCTTCTTAACAGACCACATCTGGACAAACACCATATCCCCTTTACAATCAGGCATAATCACAGACAACACTACAGACCACTACCCAACCATTCTCATAACTAATCTGGGCAAACTGCCACAAGACATTACTAAAGTAACCTTCAGACTACAAAACGAGACAGCAGTTAATAACTTTATAGCAGCTATAAATAACATCGATTGGCAAAATGAGCTCGAAACATATACAGATATGAATGAATGTATAAATAATTTTCTAAAGCCCAAAGCCTCTATAACAAACATTGCCCCCCCCCCCAAAAAACTAAACAGATCACAGCAAAGAGAATGAATAATCCCTGGCTAACACCAAGCATCCTCAAATCCATTAACACAAAGCACAAATATGAAAAACAGTATAGAATGGGTCAAATAACTAGAGAACAGTCTAAACTTTACTCAGCACTTACCAGCCTGATAAGACGATCTAAAAAATTGTATTATAAAAATAGATTACATAACATCAAAGGTGATATAAAAGAAACCTGGAAAAAACTCTGAAATTCTTGGAACTAAAAAGTTGTCCAAAAACAAAGCAATCAAATTAACAAAACTCAGATGAACCCCTACTCACACCAGCTGAAACAGCAGACTCAATGTTTTCTTCTCCGCCATAGGAAAAAAATCTAGCAAACAAAATACCAAGCGCAAACACCCGTCCAACAGACTACCTCATAGGTACCTATCCAAATACGCTATTGCTAGCTCCAACCAGCCCAATAGAATTTACGCTCATCATAAACACCCTTAAAAATAAGGCAGGAGACATAAACAACTTGCCTGCTTTTATGTACAAAAAAGCTTCTCAAGTATTGCCACCAATTACTGCAATGCTCTTTAACAAATCCATTGAATCATCTACCTTCCCAACAATCCTCAAAATAGTGAGGGGTCACTCCGATCTACAAAGGAGATGACCAAGCTGACTTGAATAACTATAGACCAATATCTAACTTACCACTGCTCTCTAAAATCTTTGAAAAATTAATTCATAGACAGATCTATTCCTACCTTGTCTCACACAACATATTAAACCCTTGTCAGTTTGGATTCAGGAATAATAAAAGCACAAATGATGCTATCATACACATGATAGAACTAATATATACTGCACTCGAAAAGAAAGAAATCCCGCTGGGTATTTTCATTGATTTACGTAAATCTTTCAATACAGTCGACCATGAACTGCTGTACTTCAAATTAATGCACTATAGTATCAGAGGCCACTCCCTCAACTACCTAAAATCATACCTTAGTAACAGAACTCAATATGTGTATGCAAATGATGCAAACTCTTCCCCAACCAATCACAGTAGGAGTCCCACAAGGAAGTGTCCTTGGACCACTCCTCTTTCTCATCTACATCAATGATCTACTGTATGCATCACAGCTACTCAAACCCATATTATTTGCAGATGACACTACATATGTCTTTTCCCACCCAAACACAGTCATACTAGCAAACACAGTCAATGCCGAATTGCAGAAAATATCTGCCTGGATGATGACTAATAAACTTACCCTGAATACTGATAAAACCTATTTCATTCAGTTTGGAAATAAAACTGTAAATGATCCAATTAACATAACGCTAAACGGATCATCAGTCACAAGACTCACAGAGGGAAAATTCCTAGGTATCCACCTTGATAGTAGCCTTAAGTTCCAGACACACATACAACAAATCACCAAGAAAATCTCTAAGACTGTAGGCATACTATCAAAGATAAGGTATTATGTTCCACAATCAGCTCTCCTCGCACTGTACCATTCACTCATATACCCTTATCTTACATATGGAATTTGTGCATGGGGATCAACAACATCCAATAACCTAAAACCTCTAATAACCCAGCAAAAGGCAGCAGTAAGAATGATGATAAATTCCCACTTCTGCCAGCATACTCCACCAATTTTCAAAAGTCTGAATCTGCTTATCATTAAGAACATCCATACTAATTCATGTGCCTACTACATACACAGAACAATACACACAAATATAAACCCTCCACTCAAACTTCTCCTCACCAACCTAAACAGGACACATGACCACAACACAAGACACAGATCTCGTTTTTGATATACCTCGTGTCCATATCACACTGTGTAAAAACTCTATGCACATAAAGAGCCCCAAAATATGGAATTCATTACCAAAAGATATTAAAGTAACCCAGTCTGAAAATAAATTTAAGACTTCTCAAAAGCCACTTAATCACCCTAGACTAAATGCTAAATACTCAGTACACACATACTCACTTATGTACTCCCACATCATAACTACAACAATCACTTTGAACCTTTTATCCATTGTTGACAGGAATATAATTGAATCATTGTTTTTCACAAAACCATTTTAGAATATAAATACATATATCTTTGTATTATACAAATTTTGATTCATTTATAATTAATAATCTACTGTACAACTATAAAATAATTACTATCCTACTGTTCAACTATGATAAAATCCTTAGTGTTAAGTAGTTTGTAAGCCAATAATGTTAAGTTGGCCCATAATGCCAAGGCATAATAGAGGCTCTCTTTGCATTGCAACCCACTATTGTAAATACAAAATCTCAATGTACTGTTTGCAAAGACAAAATAAATAAATAAATAAATACATAAATAATAAATAATAGTCACCACAGGCCACCTGATTTTACATTCTCCATGAGCACAACTCTCCATTATGTCTGGAAACTTTCCAAAATTTCAAGTGTTTTAAAGTTATTTCATGTTTTATATATACAGTAGACCCTCGGTATTCGTTAGCCTCTGATTTCATGATTTTTGGTTATTGCCAAATTTTTTTGTCAAAATGTAGTCTCTGTTTTCGTTAATTCCCTCTGGTTTTGTCAGTCGTACGGAACATGTCCAAGTGCCGCGAGCACATAAAGCCTCCCCCCCCCCCACACACACACACACACACACATTCTGAGTCAGTGTGGCATTGTTTCTCTGAGTGAACATTACCCTGCAAGGTCATACGAAACATTTCGTAATAATCCATTGTTTTTTGCATTTGTTTATTGTGTGTGGCTGCTAAATAAGCCACCATGGGCCCAAAGAAAGCTCCTAGTGCCAGCCCTTTGGTAAAGAAGGTGAGAAACATGATAGAATTCAAGAAAGAACACGTAGCAAAGTACCAAAGTGGAGGAGGAAAAGAGAGGGGAAAATGTGCCTTCTTCAGTGATTCAGTGATTCTACGATGTTTATTCTGAACCCTATTTTGACACTGGAATATTCTGAGCTTTGTGTTAAATTGGCCAAATTGCCAATTTCCGATCAATTTATTGGGTAGTTGAAACAGTTGACTGGGTGATTTCTTGTGTTCAATCGATAAAATAGAATACTAGCGAAATAGCTAAGAATTTGGTCGACTGGAATAATGTAACTGGCCTAAAATGGGAGTCAAAGTCGGCAAAATTGCTGATATATAAATACTGTTGATGCAGCAAAATTTGTGAGAGAATAATTTCATCAATTTTCCATCAAATTTCGTATTTTTTGTTTTATTACCTTCAGAAAAAGATTCTCTACCATTTGATGAGAATATTTTTTTTTTTTTAAATTCTTGGACTGGCTATCACTCAGATTTGGCCTGTGGACCCTCAAAGGGTTAAGTATGCATGTCTAAGTATTTTCTCCTTTCTTTAATGCATATTATTAAACAAACATACCAACCAATTGAAAACTTTGTCCCATCTACTTTTAACATCTCAGTTATAATCCCATCTACCTGAAGCACTTCCCCCACATTCACTGTTTATGTGATGATCATTTCAGAGATCATGGTAATAGTTCAGGATGGACAAACATTATCCACATTTTTCAAATTTATGGGTTAGTTATAAAAAATATACCATTTAATTAGCAAGTTTATCAACACGATACTTCAGCCACTAACCGATACATTTACGGCAGGTCATCACATTCTTCTCTCGTTCTTGAATGCTTTCATTTGAGTACCCATATGGGCACACACTGACACATTCCTTCTTGTTCCTGTCCTTGGACTCGTAGAGTAAGAGGCCCATTTCACTGCACACTTTTTTAGTCACGCATTGGTAGTTAAGGTACTGTAAAGAAGAATAATATGGTAGGCTTTTGAATGTAACTACTGTGGGGATAAAGAAAAATGGCCAAATTGACTAAGCATAATCAAAACAATAAACAAAATATAAATGAGATGATACAGTAACCACTTAAAAATAAAAAAAATGTGCAGAACACTTCCAGCAGCAGTATGTAGCTTTAATTTGCTGCCTTCATTATGCAACCACAAAAAACAAATACTCACCATGTGAGTATTTATGTAGTGCACACATAAAACTCAGACACATGTTTATACTACAAACTTAACCTGAACACACTATTGTATTCTCCTCAGCTAAGTAAATTAGTTATAAACCAAGCTATATCCAGTACACAGTTGTCATACAGAAAATTATTTTTTTTTATTTTTTTTATTATCACACTGGCCGATTCCCACCAATACAAAGAAAGGCTGAGAGCACTTAGAGTTGTGGCAGGTTTTCATCCCAGGTATGGTGCTAATGTTAAAATTGTGAAAATGATGTATCTTGCTTATATTAGATCATTGGTTGATTATGCAGCACCACTACTTGCACTCGTGTCTGACTGGAAGCTTGGAGGGCTGGAAAAACTGCAAAACGAAGCAATGAGGATCATCCTAGGATGCCCTCGTACTGCCAAAATTTTAAATATGCGGAAAGAACTTAATATTCCAAGCATTAGAGATCGTGTTACTGAAAGAAATATCCTTATTGGGGTCAATATGCTTAGGCTAGCCCATTCAAACCCCTGCACAGAAGCCTCCAAACTTTCCTCAGCACTGGTGAACATCCTTCCAGATGGATCGAAAAAACTGGAACCGACCTCCGCATGAACCAGCTACATGATCTATATCAAGTTGGACAACAGAGACATTTCCCTGCTCCATGGGATATTACCCCATTCCAAACTACCATTCCTCCATTACCCCCCCAAAAATCTTCTTAAATCACAACCAAAGCTTCGTCTTGAAGCCAAACATGATGCCTTAAGCTGTTTGATAACTTAGTCACACAGAACAATCTTTCACAAATTATTTACGTCGATGGTTCTGTTCACCAGTCCACTGGTGCAGCTGGTAGTGCTGCTGTTGTCACACAGAGTGATGGCTCTCATAAAAAAATTTGGGAGCACGCATCAATAATTGGGCCTCTACCCTTCAAACAGAACTGTTTGCCATACTCCTTGCACTCAAATGTTCCAGTATCTAAGGTTGACACTTTAATTGTAACTGATTCTCTTGTCATCCATAAATGCTCTCAACTCTTTAAAAGTATAAATTGTGGCATGCTTGTGTAAAGAAGCCAGACATAAAATATGGTAAGATTGTGGACAGTGGAGTCAGAGTGCACATGCTGTGGTTCCATCTCACATTGGTCTTCAGATGCATGATAGAACTGATAATTGGCTAAGCTGTATGCTTTCAAAGAGGGGGTAGATTACAATCTTGGTTGTCACTTAGCAGTTTGAGAACAATAATACGAAAAAGAACTTCAAATGAACTTTATTGATTAAGACTTAGGGAGATGACACAAGTCATCCATCTATCATCATTCCATCATGCAGGAGGAGCCACATGTCTATGGTCACCCAACAAAATAAGCAGACTCTTGGATGTCACTACTGCCGGCTCCGGCGGGGTTACAAGTATCTTGGCAGGTTAAATAAACCACCACCAGATTTAGACCAAACGAAATGTAAACTTTGCCAGAGGGAAATTATTGTCACACCTTGCGTCATTATGTACTGGAGTGTGATAAAATTAATGAATTTAGAAACAACTCACTCAAAAGTGTTCAAGAAATGGCTAAGTATTTTATCCACAGTGGTATATTGCAGACCATTCTGGAGAAATACCCTGACTTTGCTAGCTGTAAAAAAAGCATTATCACATGTGTGCATGTGTGTGTGTGTGTGTGTGTGTGTGTGTGTGTGTGTGTGGTGTGTGGTGTGTGTGTGTGTGAGGGGGGTGTGAGGTGTGTGTGTGTGTGTGTGTGTGTGGGGTGTGTGTGGGTGTAGTGTGTGTGTGTGTGTGTGGTGTGTGTGTGTGTGTGTGTGTGTGTGTGTGTGCATGCGTGCGTGTGGGTGTGTGTGAGGGTGTGTGTGGCGGGTGTGTGTGAGGGTGTGTGTGTGTGTGTGTGTGTGCGTGTGTGTGTGTGTGTGTGTGTGTGTGGGGTGCGTGTGTGGGTGTGTGTGGGTGTGTGTGCGTGTGTGGGTGTGTGTGTGTGTGCGTGTGGGTGTGTGTGTGTGGGTGTGTGTGAGGGTGTGTGTGAGGGTGTGTGTGTGGGTGTGTGTGAGGGTGTGTGTGTGTGGGTGTTGGTGTGTGTGTGTGTGTGGGGGTGTGTGTGTGTGGGTGTGCGTCCTTTTTGTGTATGCATATATTTGTACGCTCGTGGCACATGTCCGTGCGTGCGCCCTCGTGTGTGTATGTGCGCGCGCGCGCTAGTGTGGGTGTAGATCCACTTAATATTTGTATTTATAACTCATTACAATTGTGACCAGGTGTGGGACGTATCAGTGGTTCATTACTTTGTAATTTGTTCATGACTGTAACCATGTATAGGAGTGAAGCTGATTCTTACCTCTGTAACTTGCCATGATTAGTGACCAGATCTACCTGGAGTTCATTACCCTTTTTAACTAGTTCAGCTATCATAATTTGGGGTCCAGTCACTGGACCCATTAATGTACCTTTGTAAAACTTTTGCTACGCCCACAGGATGGGTATGGAGTGCATAAAGATATTAAACTAAAGTGTTGTATGTGTGGTGTGTGTGGGGTGTGTGTGTGTGTGTGTGTGTGTGTGTGTGTGTGTGTGTGTGTGTGTGTGTGTGTGTGTGTGTGTGTGTGTGTGTGTGTGTGTGTGTGTTGTGTGTGTGTGTGTGTGTGTGTGTGTGTGTGTGGTGTGTGTGTGTGTGTGTGTGTGTGTGTGTGACTCAACAATCAATATTTGCACCAATAACTCATTACAGTTGTGACCGGGTGTGGAAGTGTGAATTGCTCATTACTCAAAAAATTTTTTCATGATTGTAGCCAAAATATAAACGTAGGTAACCATTCTACAGAATTTATTACCTTTTGTAACTTGTTTAGCTCATTACCTTTGTTTCCTTAGTTCAGCTATCAAAACTTTGGGGCCCGTCCCTGGACCCATTACGTACCTCTGTAATCTGTAAATACCTTTGTAACTTGTCATGATTGTGACCAGACTTACCTGGAGTTCATTACCTTTGTAAATTGTGAGCTCATTACCTTTGTAAATTGTGAGTTCATTACCTTTGTAAATTGTGAGTTCATTACCTCTGTAACTTGCTCAGCTGTCAAAACTTTGGAGTCCAGTCCCTGGACCAATTATGTACCTCTGTAATCTTTTGACTACCGCCCACAGGATGGGTATGGGGTGCATAATAAACATATTAAACTAACTAACGCACCACTGTTTCTGATGTATATATACTCAATAATTCTAGCAGCTTCAAATCAAGCGGGAGAAAGCTGGTAGGCCCACATGTGAGAGAATGGGTCTGTGTGGTCAGTGTGCACCACATAAAAAAAATCCTGCAGCGCACAGTGCGTAATGAGAAAAAAAAAAAACTCCGATCGTTTTTTTGGATTAAAATGCCGACTTTGAGGTGTATTTATCGTTGTATTCGCGTTTTCATGGTCTTAGGTGATAAAATGGAAAACATATTACAGAAATAGAGATGATTTTCATTACTTTGACAATGAAAACGACCTTGAAACTGAGCTCAAAGTAACGGAAATGTTCGATTTTTACCAATGATCAGGAGTAAACAAATCACACCACATGTCCAATACACGTCAACTGGGGAGTCTAATATTCTTTCACTAGTGCACTGATATTATTTATACCATTTTTACAATAATGCAGTAGTCTGCATAACAGTAAATTTTGTACTTTTTTGTATGAATAAAAAATCAAAATAGAAAGCAATAATAATATAAGAGGGGCCTAGAGATGTGACTAATGAACAGAGGATATGTTATTTTAGTGCCAAGAATGTCTACCTTGTTTATTCTGGACCCTATTTTGAAATTGGCATCTTTTTTAGTTTGCATGAAATTGGCCAAATTGCCAATTTCTGACCACTATATTGGGTAGTTCAAATTGGTAAATGGGCAGTTTCTTGTACTCAGCTGATAGATAAAATGGAGTTCTAAAGAAATAGCTATGAGTTTGGTCAACTGGAACAACGGAATTGGCTGAAAACATGGCTCAAAGTTGACAAAATCGCCGATACGCATATGTCGCCGAGACTGCTAACTTCGCGGGAACGTAATTCCTTGAGTTTTCAACAAAATTTTGAACTTTTGGTGTCATTACCATCGGGAAAAGATTCTCTATCATTTCATAAGAAAAAATTTTTTTTTTTTTTTCAAAAACTTGTCGACATAGAATGACAGTTCCAGAAAGGGGCCTGCGACAGTCAAAGGGTTAAAGATAAGGTGGCTTTGAAGCCACTGCCGGTTGCCATGAGCTCAGTCTTGTGATGCTGGGGAATATGTTTTATTATTACGCTAATATCAACACTACAGCTTATTTGCCTATCACAATTGATCTAATGTGATATAAAAAACAATATAAATAACAAAAACATGTTAAATACTCCAAAATGAATAATATTTGGCATAATACCGAGAAGTTCGACAGAGGTATGAAGAGGATATGGGATACAAGTACCATTCTCCTATCCCTATCTAGGGGCTTATATTAGAGAAAACGGAGTTTATAAAATGGCTAACCATGATTTACACTTGTACTGCACCATAAAACTGCAACAAAAAAGCTATTTTCTCTACATAGATTATCACACTTAGCATATGTTGTCTATGTTTACCTATCAGTAAATGGGTATCTGAGTGTTAATAGACTGGTGTGGGTGTTATCCTGGGACACTGACCTAATTTGCCTGAAATGCTCAGCATAACAAGGGGCTTTCTATATAGTAGTATGGCACTAATGTCAGTTAGGCCTGCATACCAT